CTCAGTATATCCTTCCTCTTATATCTAAGAGCTTAAGAACGTGTGACACTAGTGCATTTTACTCTTTATATTCCAGTGAATCGTTAACCTGCCAGGATTTCAGGCCGGTATCGGTGCAGCTTACTTGGACCGGCCATGCATCGACGCCGCTGGATCCTGAATGCCCGAAAACAGCGCCCAATTATTACGACGCGAGTGTAAATGCTATGGAGATAAGTTCGAACGAATGTGGAACATGGCGAAACCAGATTCCGAAAAGGTGGGCCGTTCTTGATCTGTAGTGGCAGAGCTAAAAGCTCAATCTGGTGGAATACGCTTTTCTTTCCAGATTCAACTCGAACGTAAGCCCTTTACCCGAGACGAAAAGCCAACAGGATGGACCATCACATCTGACCGAATCCATCCTTAACGACATTTTCGGTGAAATTTAACGTTTTTTTTTCACGTAGTTCTCTGTTATAAGTCAGACGACTCTCAACACACGAGACATGTCCTTAGACTATTATGTTCCGGGACATGTACCCTTTTGAGGGCAGAATAATGCTAACATGCCATTTATCGTTTTTTTTTTGCATATTGAACAGAAATTTAAGGAAGAAAGAAACGTGACACCACTGCCACTAAGAAACCTACGAATTCGGAGAAGTCTAATCCAAAAGACGAAGATTACTATGCATATGAAGACTCCGATTATGATGTTACTGGAATCCAAAATGCGAACGTGTGAGCTCTTCTCCATAAATGCTTCAACGAATAATGATTATTAATTATAATATGGATTGTACGTGATTATTTTAATGATAATTTTTTGAGATCTTACTTTTTCAGCTCATTCCAAGAAGAAGATGGACCCCAAAGAGCAGATGTGCCTGGAATATGGCGAATCGCTGTTGAAATGGATGAGGTTACTGAAAGGAAATGCCGAAAGATCCTGACTATGATAAGGTACTGTCAGATGAGACTTAGATTGAACCGCTCGCAGCGAACAAGGGTGCAGCTCGGTGTTCGTGAGCAGGACCAGCATTGGCAGGACGTGGCTGACCATTCTTCAATTTGAGGACGGGGTTCGAGTCGGTAAGAAGGGACTCCCTTGTCCGCTGGGAGAAGGTCCCATGGGAGGGGAAAGTGCAAAGAGATTGTCAGCTTGGCAAGACTAGATATTCATGCAGAGAGGTGAAGAGTTACTCCTGTCTTTGGGCTGGGGATCATAGCAGGTCTTCATCGCCATGATGTGCCTCAGCTCAACATCGAGGCTGGCTAGGTGGAATGAAAGCAATAATCGGGTAGAAAGTGGCGCGATAGAATTTCGGAGATCAGTATCCGGTTGAAACTTCGCCCTGCAAAACACGACTTATGTGCTGTCGAAGACAACTACTGTTAAATTTGTTTGAGGTAAATGGTAAGGTAAATGCACCTCCCCAACCTCGGGGACCCAAGTTATCCTACTATATATAAACGGCAACGTCTGTCTGTGTCTGTCTGTCTGTCCGGAAATTCGGAATCACCTGAAGAGCCAGTTGGAGGGGGCGGGTCAAGGGTGGGTTGGGTAGGGCATGGGCCAAGATGTACGGAACACACATGAACTAAGCTAAGCCCGCCCACTGTGGGCGGGGCGTGCGCACAGTTGTGAGCTACATATTTCAAAAATTCGTAGTTCGGTTCCAAAAGAGCAAAATTCGTAGTTCGGTTCCAAAAGAGCCCCGAGAGCGGAAAAAGTGGCAAACGATAGGCAATCAGTTGGCGGACGAAATGAGTGAGACAAACCCATTTTGGGCGGGGCGTTCTATAGGTGGGCGGTGCTTGCTACGAAAATTTCAAAAATTCGTAGTTCGGTTCCAAAAGAGCTCGGAGAGTGGGAGAAGTGGCAAACGATAGGCAATCAGTTGGCGGACGAAATCAATGAAGCACACCCGTGATGGGCGGGGCGTTCGCCGAAGTGAACGGTGCCGAGGACGAAAACCCTCAAAACGCGGAGCCGGCCGATCCGACTGGCCCTCCCTCTCATGGAAAACTTCTCACCGGGACCCACTTCACACGCGGAAGGAGGATCGGCCGGCGAAGCCGGCCGATCCGATTTCTGATAAATGACTGCATCAAAAGATATAACCTTACTGAGTGATGCTGAGAGCATGGTGCGTCTTGGAAGGGATGCGAATTAGCGCCAGCGTCAGGCGCCAGGCATGCGCATATTTTTTTGGTATGACGATACATTGAGATTTTTTTCCTTTCAGGTTATGACAGGTGGTTGTAAAGGCTTTGGCAAAACGATTATGGAATGGCCCGAAGATCTCATCATTGGAGGTTGGTTACGGTAGTACTCATCCGAACTACTTCGTTCTCCCTAGTTGAAATCTTTGGGGGCACTGGGGAAAAATGCCGCCGCGAGACATTTTCTATCCTTAATTCTGACTTCTCTTTCATCAAAGTGTCCTACTTGCCCAAAAAAGGTGCAGTTGGTTCCAAAGGAGGCTTCGGCCAGTCTTTTTTAGAAAGAACGTGTGTGAATGCGTGTAGCCCACACAAAGCGTGGGAAAGAAACTTACTGTTCTATTACTTAGGCGCAACGTGTCATGAAAAAGTCTAATCAAAAATAGAAGAAATAGAAGA